TTACTACAGCAATGGTGTCCTGAAACAGCAAGGTGGGGTCTTGAAATGATTTTCAGAATTAATTATTTAAAAATGACTAACAACAATTTTATCATAAAATACTGTATGTCATAAAAGAGTGAGGTTGTTGTACTTAAAACCGATCAAAGTGGCATAATGAATACTATGCTCTTGTTTATTTGACCTGATACCAATGTTCATCACCCAAAAATAGTTAAAGGTCTAGCATTGATTGAAGGAATGCACGTCGCCCATCACCTTTCATCTTTCATCTTTGAGACTAAGATCATATTGTGTTGAAAGAATGACAGAGTTAGAGCCATTTTGGTCAAAGCTATAATATAATGTTATCTCATGCTATGACTCTGACTCTCAGCTACTACCACACAAAAGTTTAGCTGTAAAACTGACAGACTTTCAGCGAATTTAGCTCATTTTGTTGTTGGCTACTGTTGACTAGCCGTGTCAAACGACCATTTTCTTCACCCATTTCTGTGCGAGCTGGTCTCTACCTCCATCAGCCACTGTGTGAGAGGCAGGGGACACCATGGACAGGTCATAAGTCCATCACAGGGACACAAATGCTGTCTCAGTTGAGGGGTTGCAGCCCACAGAGGCAGGATCCTTCACAGTCCAATTAGGCTGAATCTATTGGCTGTCAAATGAGATGGTCTAATCTTTGGAGGACATACAGTAGGTCAGTGGGACCATGCACTGCCCTGTTACCAGTTTATACCACATCACCCATAAATGCCTAAAACTTAAAATGTGTTGGAACATTTTCATGGAAGGTATGACAAAACTGTGCTCTGTACAATGACAATAAAGGTTTATTCTATTCTATTTTATTCTATTTTATTCTATTCTAAAATTCAATGTATACGGCGGGTAAAATAAGTATTGAACACATCAACATTTTTCTCAGTAAATATATTACTAGAGGTGCTAATGACATGAAATTTTCACCAGATGTTGGTAACAACCCAAGTGATCCATACATACAAAGAAATCAACCATAAATGTCCAGAAATGAAGTTATTTGTAATAATGTGGAATGGCACAGGGAAAAAGTATTGAACACATTTACTGAAATTTATCTAATACTTTGTACAAAAGCCTTTGTTGTCAATGACAGCTTCAAGACGCCTCCTGTATGGAGAAACTAGTGGCATGCATTGCTCAGGTGTGATTTTGGCCCATTCTTCCACACAAACAGTCTTCAAATCTTGAAGGTTTCGTGGACCTCTTCTATGAACTCTGATCTTTAGTTCTTTCCATAGATTTTCTGTTGGATTCAGGTCAGGTGATTGGCTGGGCCATTCCAGCAGCTTTAGTTTCTTTCTCTGAAAACAACTGAGAGTTTCCTTGACTTTGTGTTTGGGCTCATTGTCTTGCTGAAATGTCCAGCCACGTTTCATCTTCATCATCCTGGTAGATGGAAGCAGATTTTTATCAAGAATGTCTCTGTACATTTTTCCACTCATCCTTCCTTCAATTATTTGAAGTTTGCCAGTACCATATGCTGAAAAACAGCCCCACACCATGATGTTCCCACCTCCAAACTTCACTGTTGGTATGGTGTTTTTGGGCTGATGTGCAGTGCCATTTGACCTCCAAACATGATGTGTATTCTGGCATCCAAACAGTTCAATGTTGGTCTCATCTGACCAGACTATATTCTCCCAGTATTACACAGGCTTGTTTAAATGTTGTGCAGCAAACTTTAAAGGAGCTTCAACATGCTGTTTCTTCAGCAGTGGAGTCTTGCGTGGTGAGCGTGCATACAGGCCATGGTGATTCAGTGCATTACTTATTGTTTTCTTTGAAACAATCGTACCTGCTAATTCCAGGTCTTTCTGAAGCTCTCCACAAGTGGTCCTTGGCTCTTGGACAACTCTTCTGATAATTCTTTTCACTCCTCTGTCAGAAATCTTGTGAGGAGCACCTGGTCGTGGTTGGTTTATGGTGAAATGATGTTCTTTCCACTTCTGAATTATGGCCCCAACAGTGCTCACTGGAACCTTCAGAAGTTTAGACATTCTTCTGTAACCGATGCCATCATTATGCTTTGCAACAATAAGGTTGTGAAGGTCTTGAGAGAGCTCTTTACTTTTACCCATCATCAGATGGTTCTTGTGTGATACCTGGCCATCATTTGGGACTGAACCAGCTGATATTTCTGGACATTTATGGTTTGATTTCTTTGTATGTATGGATCACTTGGGTTGTTACCAACATCTGGTGAAAATTTCATGTCATTAGCACCACTAGTAATATATTTACTGAGAAAAATGGTGACGTGTTCAATACTTATTTTACCCGCTGTTTAACGTTACAGTAAAGACATGAATAATATGGGTTTAGCCCCAGTAATAGTATTGTGAAATTTTCTTTGAACGTGGCTCTATTTGCTATTTAGGTTTTTATTATATTGTATTGTGTTTATTTTTACTCATGGCATTCACTCTTTTTGTTGCGCAATGATCTGCACAAAATGTGTGTTTTATTTGTACATAAGCTTGTACAATTTGTATAAGTAAAATAAATGAAAAATAAAGCTCCAGCATCACTATTTGGTTATTTTACATCACGTAGCATAAATTTTACCAGCTATGTGGCTAAACAACAAATTCTTCATCATTTTTTTACTGTAAAAATTGATGACAGTGCAATACGTCCTGGGATATCGTCAGCTGCGAAGGATACTCAGATGCAGCTTTTTTTATGGGGTTTTGAAGATCGCATTTGTCAGCCGAATGAGACGGAGCCCACGAAATTGTACAGCCTTCAGCGTAGTGCAACCTGCCCACAAATGTGCATTATGGAGGAAACCCTGATTAGACAACTAAAGAGACAAACAAGACGGACACTCACATCTAGACAACCCAGTGTTACCAGTGAATCTAATGGTCTGAGGGAGGAAACTGAGAAAACCTATGTTCTGGGAGGGAAGCAACTCTGCCCTGACCCTCAACAGTTAATCAGTTGTAGAAATCCAATGACTATTTGAAAATGTCAATAAAATTTGTACAACAGTTCATGAGATCTTTTCCTACCAGACACACAAACACTGACAAACAAGACTTTAAACTTTTTCGCTTTTCACCTTTTACATGCAATCAGTATTGGTTTAAAAAAATCTTGTTAGGTGAATTTCATCCCAGCTGCTCCCTTCTCGCCATCACTGCGCTGATTGTACAACGACTGGGCCTCTAAAGAGGGACAAGGCCATGCAGTCTCCATCACACTCTGAAAGCCATTAGGAGAAAAGGCCAAGTAATTCCAGCCTAATGGAGCACACGCACGACTTCCACAAGGAGTCACACGCAGCCAAATTAACTGACTTGAGGGAAAAAAAGTTGGGTGGGTGAGCAGAGCAAAGCAAATGAAAGCGGGGTGACTCGATCAGGCTGCATGTCACCAGCTCCATCAGCAGGTGTATAAATATGTGTCATGTTTCACGCTCCGTGTCCGCGGGGACGGGGAAGCCAGATGGGATCTTAAATGCTTGCATTTCATGTGGTAACATTTAGCAGGGTTAGTTCACCCCTCATTGGTCGGCCATCTGCTGCCCTCTCAGCCTGCCGTGGAGGCTGGTGTGTAAAACGCTCCAGATCGCTCTGCCAGAGCAGCTCCAGCAGTTTACATCACAGTCTGCACACACAAGCCCTCCTACACAACTTATTCTTTTTAAAAAGGGTGTATTCCTGCTTTTCTGCAGCCAACACATCTGAAAAAAAAATTAATAAATGAAACAAATGAGCACCGCTGTATAAATTTGTATGAACTTACCATGAGTTTCTTATGGTGAGATAAAAAGAAAAGAAAAAAAAGAAACCTGAAAATTGTTGATCCACTTTGCAGAATTTCCTTTGACAGGTCCTCGTAGTGTGTTTCCATCATTTGCTCTCTTTTATTTTCTTTTTGAGACATCCGTTCTATTCTCCTCGAGGGTGGTTTTGTTCCTTCTCATTTGAGCAAACAGGCAGAGTTAGACACCCAGCCAGTGCTCCCTCCCTTTATTGACGGGCTCCACTTATCACACCGGCCTCACCATTCAAATATATGGAAACGACAAAGCTCCTTACACACACACACACACACACACACACACACACACACACACACACAC